TTTCTTTCACTTCGCAACCACAGGCATTTGAAATTTTACACACATCAGCCAGTTCGGTTATGAAAAGAAAACATGAACAGGCGTACGGATGAATGGATAATTTGCCCCGATGCACTTGTTGCCTTCTGTTTGACAGAAATGTGACACTTTAGTTTTGATAATACCCTTACCCTGCAGTCAGTGCTCTTTAAGAGTAGGCTGTTTCTATCTTTAGTCTGTTTCGAGCGCGGTTGTTGATTTTGAGAGCAGGCAGGCGGCATGTCTTCTGTGGTTCTAGGCTGGTATGGATCCGTATCCTCGCAGCTGCTCTGCAAGTGATTAGGAACTAAGATGTCATTACAGCCCAAACAACAATCAGGAAGTTTCACAAGAGCTATCAGTGTTTCCTGAAAGCCTGGAGTCTTCTGATGTTGCTGTCTGTTCTCATGTTTAGCTCGAGCTTTGAGGCTAAACTCATCTAAATGTTAAATTTCATAATCAGCGTGTCGTATTGTCTAATTTGATGCTTACAAGCTTCACAAATCACTTTGGATATTGGACTTTACAGAAGCTTTATCATCTATTTTTTTCCCTTCAATTTTAAATTAGAATAATAAACTGAACTTGAGGCTGCTGCTGTAAATAATACATCGTAGATTTTAAATTTAAATGATAGTGCTGTCATTGACTGCATTAGGAACAGTCCCAAGTAATTTGTCATGAGGATTTTGGCTCCTGGAGGCAGTGTTAAAAATGAGAACTGAAATCATTTGCACTGGACAACCGGGATATTTCATCTGCTGTAGTGTTTCCCAGCTCATTTGGCTTATGTTAAAACAAAGCAATATTTATTTGTCCTCTTTTTACAGAATGTCTATGTAGAAGTTAGAACCACTTAGCCCAAAAATAATTGTTCTGATTCATGGGGCCAATGCTGATAGATCACACCATTCCACTGTGCTAATATACACAGCAGTGCACCAGCAAAAGCAGTGATTAAAAAACACTACAGGTTTCTTTTGATGTAAACAACGCAGGTTAAAAAATATATAAAAATCCCACCATGCATTCTGGTGAGTAACACTGAATCTAAACATAACTGCTGTTACTAGGAAACAACATGACTCGACTTAAACACTGTATACAGCAATTATTTAACTATCTGCCACAGTACGAAGATGGGATTTGCTGTTTTGAATTGTGCGGCTGTGTTCAAGGTCTCATTTCAGAGTCAAAACTTTGTGTTTCTTGTGGGTGGTGCTTTGAGTTTTTGAGCTACATTTTAATACAGCAGTTACTCCATCGTTCCTAAGCACAAAGTCTAGACAACACACCATATCTGCAGTGTGATAAAAGCTTCTAACCTTGAATCCAGATGCTGTAAATGTAAGATCTGGTACAATATCTTTGAGATTTTGGCAGAGTTGAAGTCTAAGACGTGCATGATAAGACTAATGGCTTGCTGTCATTGGCCGTTTGCCATAATTGCATCTGCAGTCTGTAGTTGTATTTTTGCCAGCACTTAGGCCCTACTTGAATGCATTTTACACACCTCTTCCTTTGACTTATTTAAGACACATGGTATTGTGTGACTCTAGGCTTCCTCTTCCTTCTGCAACAAGGAAATCCTCATTTAGACCATAATGACAGGTCTTCCCCAACTGGTTGCCTGGAGTTGGAGTGCCCCTTTTTAAAGCCCTGCATGGACTAACATGAGTGTGTATTTATTTGTGTGTGCCAGACAGACTAGCTGCAGACAGCTATGCCACTGTGCCATGCCCTGTCTTTTGACACCCCTCAGTTGCCATTCACAAAGAGCTCCTGCAGGCCACTGGGCTGGCTATATTTACCTGAGACAGGACTGTGGATGGATGGCGGGGGCTCTGTTTTTATTTTGGTCAAGTAGTACGTGAGAGGGATTCAAATCGCTATTGTTGTGAAGGGTTTTTTTCTCCGTCAGCTCTCATCTCTCTGAGTTGCATGTCATTGTAATTCAGTCGTGTCAGCACGGAGACTGTTGAGTAGGTGAGACAGCCTTTTCACACCTCACTGCCAGTCTGGACTTGTTCCAGGTCGCCCTATATCATAACCTCTCTGTTAGCACTTCTTCCTGTAGCTTCACTTGCAGTTAGCATCACAAGTCCTTATCGTTTTATCTGCTTTCCTACAATCTTAACAAATGACTTGCAAATTGCGCAGCAGGCATCTCTTTCCATAAACATGAAAACAGTTTGCGATTTGTCGTTGTGATATCCAGCCACAGGGACATAGTTTCTAGAGAGAAATACTGCTGTTGATTCTTTCAGTTTTCCAGCAATGTGTGTATCACAAAATTAAGTGCAATCCACCTACATTAGATGGTGTGGAAATCCTCCAATCTGATATATGAAACTGAAACTATGACCACGTAACAAAAAGTATGTGAGAGGTAAATGTGTCATGATCAAGGTGAACTGTTTATCTTTTATTATTCATTTATTACTTTTTATGACCTAGCTTTGTACTGGCCTTCATCTGTCTAAAGCCTCAAGCTTCTTCCCTGTTGCCTCGTCCTTCTCTTGGTGGTTCATAACACCCTCCCGTTCCGAGTGTAACCTGGTCCTGGGAGGCAGCTGCAGGGCTCAAATGTGACCCTTTAATGACTCTGCAATTATATCCCTCCGCATACACATACCCACAGCTTAAAATGCTTGTTATGGTTAAGGCATAAAAAACAGCCATGTTTCCTAAGAGGGCTTGTGTCCCATATGACACTGCTTATTTCATCAATTGAAAGCAACATGATCACTTTTATTTACATGGTAGTAAATGACATTTCCAGGTGAGGATTAAATGACTCATCACTTCTTAGAGATAGCGTAGAAAGACATTGCAGCATTAGTTGTCAATATAAAGGTGATAAATAAATCAGTTTTTTTTACTTTTATTGAGGTTACACATCGACACATGTGAGAGACTATAATAAAATAGTGTCATGCTCATGCTGTCATCCAGTTTGCTTTTGTTGCTCCCTCTTAGTTCAGATATGACCGACTGATTTGAGTTACTTAAGAGTTATGCAAGCAGTAAGCGAATTGTCAAGTTGGTTTGGGAAATGAAAGCAGATACTGCAGCAGTTTACACAGTAGTGGTTCGGGCTTTTCCAGGAAGGAATACTTTACTGTGGGTAGATGTGTGTGTGTGTGTATGAAAGAGTACACATGCATTCACAAGTTTTTTGTTTATGTGTCTGTGCATTAATAACTCAACATTTTAATGTGACTCATTTGTAACCTTTCACCATTGAATTCCAGGTCTGTTAACAGTTCACTTCTATTCCCAACACTGCTTTCACTTTTTCCTTTTGATCATCAGAATAAACCAGTGTATTTGCGTTATGCTTTGACCTCAAAACTGTAAAAAACTGTTACCAGGCCAGTGTAGTTGTGAGAAACTACCAACTGTGCAGCCTACTGTCTGCAGAGTCTGTTTTGCTTCTTTGTACTGTTACTTAACGTTTGACAAAACTATATTTGATTTAAGGAGGTGCTAAGCACCAAAGCAGAAGTTATCAACTGTTTTATAGACTCTTTTCAAAGCTCTTCTTTGCTGACTTAAGGTTAAAAAGGCACCACAAATATTATTAAATTTCATTATCAGATCAAGTGAATACAGACTTCCCGACACTTAGAGTTCAGCTGAAAATTGTTTCCATAACTTCATGCTTTTTTATGACTGGAGTGCTTTCATGCAGCAGTGGAGCAACTTTTACAGATGCCACAACATTGAACATTTCTTCTGTTGTACGTTAAAGCTTGAAGATTAACTGATCAGTTTTCAAAAGAAACATTGCACTGTGTAGCGCAGCAGACTGCAGGCTGCATTTTTATTGAGTCTTAAACTAATCATCAACAGCAGTTCATCAATATTTTTTTATTGCAGACTTGTTGGCAAGTCATTAAATCCCCACGACTCACAGGTGGTTCATAAGAGGCCTGAGCAATTAAATAACATGTACTGGCAACAGACACTTCATCTATGGCCATGAGAAAGTAGTTTGATTGCTTCACTTGAATACATTAGATGCAAATTGCCATGAAAGCGCACAATGCAAAGGGAAAGTTAGAATGCACGAACAAGCCCCAAGTGTACTCCCTCCCTGGCGCTTGAACAGTCTATTATGTTCCTTGATAATGGAGCATGCTACTCTTGGTCACTTCCTCCTGGCCTCTCTGCAGGTCTACCGAGACACACAAATGTGCCAGTGGCTGGGCCTCTCCTCACCCCAATCTGTGTCGGTAGACCTCTACTGATGGAGGCAGTGGCCAGTGGGCACTGCTGCTTGCCCTTGCGAAATTGTTTCATGGTCAAAAAACACCCAATAGTCTAGTTCTCACTCCTGACCAGACAACCCTGTGTAGGCTTACTGACTTGATGTGGCACAGAGGATGGTGTGGGCTCCCTGTTCGGTGACACCTGGTCATGGGCAGCTACTCAAAACCTTAACCTAAGCACAGTGTGGCGGCTTTGCTCTGGTCACCCTCCATGTACGTCCACATACCTGAAGTTAAAGAGTATTTTTAAAGTTTGTTTATTGCATCTTACTCACGCAAGGTCAGTTATCTCAAAGTTGACTTTCTGGCTTTCTGTATCTAATGTGTATCAAAGTGAGTTCACTATGCTTAATTAGTTTCATTTATTTGTATGTTTCCTTGTTGTGTTATTGTTAAAATTATTACTTGTGTGCCTTGCACCTGAAAATGATTAAATTCAAAATAAGGCAGTGTATTCAAGTTTAACATTTTTCCTCCTGGTCTGTTTTAGAAAAAAAAAAAATTGTAGATATTGACTGAAATGAAACATGAGAAATGTGTCAGCTATATCACCCAGCCCTTCTTCACAGCTCAAACCCAATTTGGACTACAGAAGTACAATGCATGGTTTTTCTTTTCAATCCGGCCTACCTGTCAAGTCAGTGTCAGCAAACAGACATCACTGTTAGTTTATGCCTGTTGTCTAAATAAATTGTGTCCCACACACAGGCTGCTTCCAAGAATGGGCTTTTCCATCTCGGACAGGTAATCATTGCTCGATCGTGGACAAATCCATAGGCCTCTTAAATCTGAAACACAAACCTTCCCTGGTTCTTCCCTCTTGTCACATCAATCCTTCTCTCCCTCTGTCTGGTTGACTTCGCTTCTTTCTGGTGGCAGTGGATGTTATTTTTCCTTGCTGGGTTCACAGGTTTTTCTCCTTTGAAGTGATACCAAAGGCCTGTCCATAAATAAAATCCAAGGCTGAGCCTTCTGTCTGGACACCTGTGGAAGTCTGTGCAGATTAGTATAGACCACAGTGCAGTTAACTGATAAACCATAACAAACTATGGCAAATGTTGTATGATGTAGTTGCAGTAAAATGTAGAAGAAATTGCACTTTCTCTTTCCTGCCTTACGGCTATTTGCGATTGTCAGATCTCCACAGGTGTTCAAAAGTAAGGCTAGAGGTTATTTCTGGATGGAGCTGCATATGAAATGAAAATCTTTTTGTCTTTCTCTCTGTCTGTGACAAATACACACAAAATGCTAATGGATATCCCGGTGCACCAGGTAATTTACCTCAACGTTGTGGTTTTCCCTTCACTACCCTTACTGGAAATTTTGGTTTTCCCCAGACACACTAAAAAAAACCAAAAGCTGTTGCTTCTAAAATTACACTGCGAAAGGTGACCTTCTTCTTGTTTTTTTCTCCTAGACCAGAGATGATTTCCTGGGACAAGTTGATGTTCCTCTCAGTCATTTGCCGGTGAGTTATTTACAGACTGACTGCTTTAACGCTGTTTTGAATACTCAGCTGTTTCTTATCTTCAATTTTGCTGATTAACCTCTGTGAAGGTCAGGCAGAGTGTGTGTTTGCGTGCTCCCGTCTTGAGTGTGAGAAAGTGCTAGCTACACAAGTAGCGTTTTGTTGTGATCAAACAGCACTCTCCTTGTTAGAAATGGAAAGCGGGCAGTCTAGAATGTAAACAGAGTGAGAGTCCTGAGGGCGTGCTGCCCTCAGAACCAATGGAAAAAGCTATACTTGTCAGATTCACACACTCACACGTACTTGGAAAGTGTGGACTGCTGGGAGATAACAGCTTTTGAAAACAACAACATGCAGAATCTGTGTGCTTTGCTTGTTGTTGTTGTTTTTTTTACACTTTATTTTTTATGTAAATGGACCTGAAATGCAAACAAAGACACCATCAAATCGTAGCGAAGCTGCAGCGCCCCTCCTCAGTCGTCAAGTGTGCTCTCAGCCTGTTTGTGGCTCCCTGAAGTTCTCTCTAAGTTGTCAACCTTAAAAGCCTATCAGTAAAAGTTGTTGGGGTTAATTATTAATGTCCTATTTAGTTCCCATAGGTCCAGGAAATTATTAGCAGATAAAAGCTCGAGCTGAGTCACGTTGAGAGGTGAGGTCTGTAGGGCAAGATAGAGAATATTTGGTCCTGATGCCGCTAATGCTGCCTGCTGCTGCAAATCTTAATTTAACCAAACAAAGAGGCTGAGTGACTACATGCTGTAGGAGGTTTTTTTTGTCTTATTCATAGTGGCTGGCTGTTACTATAGTCATCACCTTTTTCTCCTCACTAGCTTCTCGTAGAGAGTCGTTTACTTTACATGAATCAGGACGGCGATGCTGAGTCATAAGAAGGGATCTGGTAGCTACATTTGCCTCCTGGAACCTTGAGCTACACTTTCCAAACACAGTCTTATGCACTGTACAGCAGAAGACTCTCATTTCATAGAACAAATTTAGCAGCACTGTTATGTAGATCATTTATTTGCAAAGTCACCATCAATTCTAAATGTCAAAGGTGTTATTGAAGATTTGGTTGCATCACATCTCTGATTTTTTTAAAATTTTTTATTAACCTTTCTGGCATTTAGGGTTGCACTTTTGATATGGAAATTTAGAGTCTCATTCAGTGTCAGAGCAGCCAGTGTGGACTGGTTCGGCCCAGTCAGAGAGCAGCATGCGATTGCTGTGAATTACAGAAGACCTTTCTGCTGTTCAATATGTAACAGGAGAAGCTCAGCATTGCATAATGATCTTGGAGCGGCTGTGCAGACGGTTGCAGCCATGCTGTAAACTGCAGACTGCGATATTTTGGCGGTGTCGAATGTGTATTTTCTTGTTTGTTCAATTGAGTGCTGACAACAAATACCTCCTCTTAATTTCGCAGACTGAGGACCCTGCCATGGAGCGGCCGTACACATTTAAAGACTTCCTTTTGCGGCCAAGGAGGTGAGATTTGCTGGGTGTAGCAAACAGGATTTGACAAACGATCTGTGAGAATGGATGAAATAATGTAACTTTATTTGATGTAATTATGTTGACAGTGACAGATTATCACATATAAATCATGGTTTGCAACACAGTGTAGACTCTGGTCACAACAGCAGTAAGCAGAAGCAGTAGGTTCATGTGAGTGTCAGTTAAACACTGGAGATGAAATACCATCTGGGACTAATAGGCAGTTTGGAAACTCATGAACATTTCAAAGCATTTTGAGCAGATGTTATCCTTCCAGTCACAAGTCCAGGGTGAAGGGTTACCTTCGTCTGAAGATGGCCTATCTGCCCAAACAAGGAGGACATGAGGAGGAGGCTGGAGAGATGAGGGAGGAGGCTGAGGTAAGATCTTGGCCACTATTGTTGTTGAGTTGGTTTAAACCGCTGACTGAGCATTACCTAAGCCATTCTTTTGACTGTGTTTTTCATAATAACGTGAAGCCAAACCAGACTCTAGTTTTATGCTTTCCTTCCACACAAAGACAACATAGTTCTAAGCTTCAAGACGAAACTAAATGTCCCACTTTGGACCAATAGAAATGTGAGAGCAGTCTTTACTAGGAGCGAGTGAACAAAGGATGGCTCTTCTTTCGATTCTTTTCTCTGAGAATTCATGAAGCATCTTGCTGCCAGGATCTGGTAAAAGTCTTTTCCAGGTCAAAGTCTGGAAAAACCATTTACAATGTGGCCTGTTATTTGGAGAGAAATAGGAGCTCCTCTTTTATTTTAATGTGTGTTCTTGCGTGTGTGTTTAAGTGTGGATTGTAGAAGAGGGCACGATAAGTGTTGTACATTTTAAAGTAGTGAAAGGCTACTCAGGCAAGATTACATCTCGCAGCCAAATTATATTTCACTAACATCCCTTCACTGCAGGTTCAATGTGACCCCCGCTGTCTTCACTGTGGTTTCCCTCTCTGCATGCCTGTCCTTAAAGAGAGTTCAGATTTATCCACCTTGGTAATGATATTGATGTCTAAACATTAGCTCAGTCATAGTGAGATGTACCAGCCTGCTGGCAGCTTGTCAGACATAAATACATGGCAGTAAATGTTAACTAAAACATTTCAAAGCACAACACAGCAGTAAGAAATAATGTAACCGGCCACATCTTTAGTTTAATCCCCTCTTCCATTAAATCCTGTTGTGAATGTGTCTGATGTGTCACTGGGAAGTCCGTGACAATGTAATCTTTGGCCCGAGCTACGAGTCAGTTAGTCACACAACCTTATGTCAGAAATCTTGACTCTCTGTTTCAGGGCTGGGATGAGTCTGCGGACTCAGGCTCCCAGCGACCCCAACAACTGCTGCCCCCTTTGCCTCCAGGCTGGGAAGAAAAGGTGGACAACCTGGGACGCACCTACTACGTGAACCACAACAACCGCAGTACACAGTGGAAACGGCCCTCCAACATGTACGTCTCATCTCTTGAGATTTTGGTAGTCATGCGCCAGATGATGTACGGATGTTAATTATTAATTGAGTTGGGGGGGATGTTGGTAAGCAGAGAGCATTGTGGGAGTTTAGCTCCCACAGTGCCACCATGAGAATGTTCTGTGACGCCTAATGTGGACTCACAACTTGTACGGCGTTCTAATGCCTGAGCCATTAGAGCACCTAGTGTCATGTCACGTAGGCAGATAGATCGGCTTTTGTCAAGTTCATTCAAAGCAGTCAAATCAGGACTTGAAATGATGGCCACCATCTTCATTTGATGTTATTGTTTCAACCACTATGAACTGCATGGTCACTACGAAGCAATATACAACAACCTGCGCAAAACAAAACAAAACACAGAAAGTAACAGGAATAGCTAACCTTTCCAAAGGTAACACATTCTGCCCAATGACGCTTCTAAAAGTCACTTATTATTCTGAATAGTTTATACATTTCTAATGTTATTCTTTCACTTAGACACGTTTTTATGGATTGAGCAAATATACCATGTTTATGCTCAGCAAAGCTAATCCCTGTCTGTCTTAGTTTTGTATTTAGAAAGATATAAGAAAAGTATCAGTCTTCTCTTTTAAAATCAGTAACGATATTTCTCAACATTTTCCCTCCAGAAAAAAAACAGCTGGCATGAAGCAATGGCTTAATAAACACACAAGGGACAGATATTATGTCCTCAATTTTCAGAATAAGCCTGTGCACATCAAACTGATGAGTGAAAGACTTTTGTTAGTTTTTTAGCCCTAGTTACTAATTTAATCCTCCTCAGGACTGTTAAGACCACCTTAGCTATTGATTGAGTTTTGGTTCTCATTTATTTGCGATTTCTAATATCACTTTTATGTCATCACTTCTTCTTTCTCAGGGATGTGATTTCAGAGACTGAGAGTGACAATCAACAGCGGCAAATCCATCAGGAAGCGCACCGTGTTTTCCGTTCGAGACGCCACATCAGTGAAGATCTCGAAAACGAGCACCTGGAGCCCAGAGACATAGACAATGTGAGAGAACAGAACACAGACATGCATACTGTGAACACACACACACTGAGCCACAGTTGTTCCAAGCAATAAAAGGTCATTAAACGTTATTACTGTATCACGGTTGTATCTCCTTGTTGTTCCCGTAGTCCTGGGAGCTCATCACAGAAGAGGATCCTAACGACAGCTTGGCCCAGTCACTGCCTGGTCCCTCCTCCGTCTTGACACCACAGCACCCGCCAACACCCATCACCCAGGAGTTCTCTGAAGATTTAAATCTGAGGCTGTCTCTCACTCCCGATACTAATGGCGAAGTGCCAGGGCCCAGCTCCGCTCTGGTGAGACTAAAACACTGTAATTTGCCGTAGTCAAAACCTCAGCCACACCAGATTTAAATGAATTAATGGATTAAATGTGGGCAGTCAGGCAGATTTCCAGGCCGGTACTTTTTGTCAAGCATTAGAGTGACAGCCAGTCCTAGCGATAACATTTTTACTCCCTTCCTTGCTTGCTTTGAACAGGGCCAGCTGTCAAACAGACTCCGGTCCTCAAGTATGACGGATGGCGTCAGTGATCAGGCCCAGGCTCCTCCTCTTACGGTACATATTTCTGAAGCCTTGATATTTCTCTAGTTTGTTCACTTTCTTCCTTTAATTCCTCCCTTTCCTTTCCTCTCTACATGAGCAGGTTGGTATTGTTGTGTCATTTACCTCCTCTCTGTCCGCATGTCTAAGTGCTGTGGTTGCACCACATATGAAATCACCTTCTTTGCTCCTTGCATTTACAATTTCCACCTGATCATTCGAGGCAGATGTCGCTACCTACTCACCCGTTCTTCCTTCTCTCCTTCAATTTTCCACGACTTACTATACTTTTTGTCTCTGTAGGATCACCACACTTCCTCCTCCTTCTCTCTCATTACTGCTCTCTGCTCTTTTGTGAGTCACATGCTACTATGTTTGGTGTATCGTAGAAATGTTGGCTTTACAGCTGTGTGCCATCAGAATAACCAGTCCAGTAGAACTCCCTTGACGGGGACGTAAGTTTGAGGACAGCACCAGATCAGTTCAGGCGTTCCCCGTAGAGTCCTGAGTCACAGCATCAGTGAAGATTCAGCTCAACAAACTGTCACAAGACCTGAATCAGATGTTTGTCACACAGCTGAGTCACCGCAGCGAGCTTTGGAATTGTCAAGCCAAGGAAAAGTACAAGTGCTGATGTCAGTCTTTCCCTTGAATGATAAGTTTCTCAGGACGACAGTTAAGAAGCCATCTGAGGGGAAATTTAAACTGCTTTTGTTTGGTTTCTGTCCCGGGTTTAATAATTACCACTGGGTGTAGTGAGTAATTAAATATTTAAAGTAGAAAGACACTTTCCTCAGGGAAAAAAACAAAACAGTTTTCTGTGACTGTGTTTGTGCAGGGATCTATGAATGTCATAACAAACTTGGTTACAGCCAAACAATTCCTAAATAATACTACATGTGTATCTTGGTGGATTGGTGGTGTTTGTACCTGGATAAAGATAGCCATGACTCGTAATTAGAAGTTAGTGACAGTACATGTTTCCTGATCACTGCTAAGATACCTTGAATACAACTCAGCTCATCCAGTGGATTTATTACATCCACCCTCTGTAATACTATTAGACTTCTAATGTGAAAAATATTTCTACAGTTAATGTCGAGTGTTAGTAATGGTAGATTAAGATCAGTTGGGCGAAACAGAAATGTGGGAAAACTGGATTTGGTAGGCTGGTGAGGGTATTTCTGTTATAAACTGAACTGTTATAGTGAAAGTACATTCAGCATGGGGGCAACAGGCAATTCAACTTCCTAGAAATTTCAAAGAAGTTAAGTGCAGGTCTGAGCATGTATGTGTTTGAGCTTTGTTTTAGGTTTGATGTTAGAAATCACAGTTGAGGTCATTCCTTCCTGCAGTTATAAAGCTGGGTTATAGCTATAAAGTACATGTCAGGTTGCTCACTGTTTTCCAGGTATATCAGTATATATTGTCGTCGTCCTTGCGGTACATCTTGCTTGAATGAAAAGACTCTCTTTTTTTATTTTTTTGCATTTGATCATTTTTGTAAAGTCGACATTTGAGATTAAAACTCCTTTTGTGAACTTGAGGGCAGTAAATCACTTCACTGCTCTGACATCTTGGGGACACGACTGTTTTCTCCGACTGGTGTTCTGCAGCCTCGACATAATTTTCTACTTGGGGTGAAATTAAAGATGGTGCACTGGCTGGGGATTAAATTTACAGTTCAGGGAAAAGAGTCTCCTCTCCAGCAGGAAAAATGAGAGCATGATAGCGCCTGTGACTCAGACTGCCTTGATTTTTTTTTTTTTTTCTTTCTGTCTTAATATTAAAGTTGATTCACTTTCCAGTTTACTATCCAAACGTTACCAACAGCACAGTGCTTTTTTTTTTTTTTTTCATTTTTCTAAATCTGCCTCTTGTGTAATCAAATCATCCAATCACAACAGCCGTTTTTTCCCCTCTGTTCGTGTGCTTCATTCGGTATCGCTTTTATTTATTTATTTTTTTAAAAAATTCACAGCAACTACACTTTTCCACCCTGGCCCATAATCACAAAAATTGCTCCTCTCTCTCTGCCACTCCTCGCCTCCTTTGAGAATGAATGCCCCACTTTGTCCATTCAGTTTTTCCTCACTCAGCCTTCACTACTGCCCCTTTACTTCCACACTGGCATTGAAAACATAACATACTGTGAACTAAAGACCGTCTTCCCCTGTTGTCTACCACCAGCAGAGGTCCCAGACCAGAAGAACAAGAGCTCAAACAGTCTCAGGTGGTGAGGAGAATATGGTAATATCTCAGTTTATGTACAGTATAAACCCTATCCGTCACACACCTCATAGTTCCCAGTTATCATGTAGGATGGGCTTGATGTTACCCCAACAGTTCTGTGAATAGCGTTCATAACAACCTGCACAATGAGGGCTTTCAGTCATTTATCCTACTGTATGTGCTGTTTAGACTTTGTTCCTATTTATGCACCGTACAAACATTTTCACATATTGACACATTTCTATGATACATAATCTATAAAGTAATACATTTTTTATTTTCTGAAATGTAAAGCAGACGTTTTTCTAAATGCTTATTAACATGTACATAGTTTCTGACAAGTGATTGATTTGTTTTGTAAAAATGATCATTTGCAAGCTGATCACTACCATCATGCCTGAATAACTTCCCCTTTGTTTAGTTCTTTTATAGCTGATGTTGTGATGAAGTGCTAGCTTAGAGCAGCAGTTATCAGTGTTATACAGTGTGTGCTTGTGCGTATGTGTATGTGTGTTTATTGTGAATAAAACCGGTAGACGATAAGTAATGATCACCGCCATCGATAACAATTAAGAAGTGTGTCCATTGTTCGAGCGTCTTTGCACAGTGAAATCTAAAAAAAATCCACAGTTTCTGCCGTGATCGTTTGGTTGACTATTTCCATAATGTTTGTGCTACTAAGGGTTAATGGTTCACTAAGGAAAGCAATAATGTTCAACTACTTTTCCGCATGTGGTATTTATTTCAGTGCCAATCTGTGTTTCATTGTGTTTTGTGGGTGAAGGTTGACTCCATATGCATATAAGAGTTAACCCTCTGAACCGCAAGCTGTTTCTAGTTGTTTTTTTTGTATTTGCTCCTGTCATATTTTTAATATGAAGTCTTCCACCTTTATGGAAACAGTGCAACCATGGCTAGAAGTAGGGAAAAAATCATTGATGTTTTTAGTGCAGTGTGAAACAGTTATATTGCCATAAATCATAAAACAATAAAAGTGTAACTTCTTCGATTACCTAAAAATTGACAAAACCTCCACTCAACTGTGCAACATTTGTCTAAGTGCCCACAGGGGTTGTCAATATTGGAAGGGAAAAAAAAGGTGACTCTACATTCTATAGATATTTTACTGCTTAGATTTTTAATTTGCTTCCATACTTATCTTCTATCTGTGTAAACACAGCCTGCAGTTCAGCCAAGTCCCTGAATTTTTGTCACATGACTGTTGGTGCAACAAATAGTTTTTTGGTTGGGCCAACATTAATGATCATGCTTGCAAGCTTAGATTTGGTTAATTTTCCTGATGGAACTAAAAGCCACACATAATTAGTTCAAGGACTGTCAGAAAGTTCCAAATCTAAAAAAAAAAATCTGGTTTCATAGTTTCTGGCTCTGATAAATGTAATTAGTTTCAATTTAAAAAAAAAAAAAGTCTTTCAAATCTGCAAGGGGTTCAGAGGGTTAAAAGCATCCTTTGTCACATGTTGTTCCTGAAGTGTTTCCATACTGTGCAGCTAGAATGGGAAAAGATTGCCAAGCCTTTGTGTTGCTGCTAGACGATAAGAAAAAAAACATGTGGTATGTTGGAATAACTCTGGTTCTCAAGTCAGCTTTATTGAAACCACACATTTCTGTCCAGTTGTCTTTTTCCCTGCAGAATCATTTAAGAATATTAAAAGATTCCCTCCACGTGTCTTTAAGCACATTAGCCTGTACTGATTAGCTGTCTTTGCTTTGCTCTCTCTCTACACTTGGCCAGTCTCCCTCGGCGACTGCTTACTCCTTGACCACCCCTGGCCTGCCCCCTGGATGGGAGGAGAGGAAGGACGCCAAGGGAAGAACTTATTACGTCAACCATAACAACCGCACCACTACTTGGACTAGGCCAATTGTGCAGGTACAGCAGGTCTGACGGCTGGCTGTCGGGGGTTGGCTGGACTCTATGCATGGGACTGGACGTTACCTCGGCCCCTGTCGTGGCCTTGGCCTGTGTGTCGGACCTCTACTTCCTCTATTCCCCCTTGTGTTTCTCCTCTGTGTAGCCGCAAAGAATGACGGAAAGAGACACAGCTTTGAAGCCTCAAAGTCTCTTTTTCTGTCTTTCTCTCTGTCTAGTTTCCTGCTCTGTCCGACTTTACTGTTCGTCTTCTTTCTCTCGTCCAGCATTTTGTTTGGTAATAGGATGAACTCTGTATTGGTCCCTCCTTTCTAAATCCTGGCATGGAACCGCAACCACCACTCTTCCCTCCCTTTTCCCATTTCGCCCGTTTTTCCACTCGTCTTCCCCCCCTGTCTTTCTGTCTGCAAAATGAGGCAGCACCACATAGTCTGAACTGGCAGAGAGACTGCTACATGGGACTGGGTGTATTGTTTGACGCTCACGTCTCTCCTCTTTAAAATCCACACTTTCATTTGTGCTTTTTTCCGAACGCCGCCTGCTGTATTATACCTGTTCTTCATCACATAGTCTCCTCATTCTTTGGTTCTCATCTGTTTTTGTTGTTACTCAGAAGGAGAGGAAGCTGCCAAGCGATTTACATAACAATGTCGTAAATGTGGGTTTACCCATTGTGCCTGCCACTTAGGCTAGGGTTCAAAGTACCGCTACTAACTTACTTCAAGTCTTTGTCCCTGTTTTCTAGTTGGACATATAGTCTTAATCATATTTTATTTTGTATTTTAAAATGACAGAAATGATTGTTTTCTTCATGGGCCTAAATGACCCTTGCTTTTAAGATTTTAGGAACTCATTTCCTGAGAGACAAAGCTTGCATCCAGACCATTCCGGTGCTGACAAGCATCTCTGAAAGCATGATGAGATGAAGTTTTGTGTTCGCAAACGGCATTGCTTGCTTTATTCCCACCCCACTTAACCTCAAAAGTGCTGTTCTCACTGACAGCTGACTGAAGACGGAGCCAGCACCTCAGCAGCAGCGTCGGGAGGAGCGTCGGCCCTGACACCCGCATCCACCCCTTCCTCCTCTTCCAATGCCTCCAACAACCACCTCCATGAGCCCCAAGTCCGACGACCTCGTAGCCTCAGCTCCCCTACTGTCACCCTTTCCACCCCCTTGGAGGTGAGATTTAGCCCCTTGTACTATCCCGTTCCACCACACCTCTGTTCTTTTCCCTATTTTCACCGCCCGAGGACTGTCCTCTTTCTTTTCTAGTCTTCACCCTCCCACGCTTTCTTTTCATGCTGGTCCAAGGTGACCAAACCATGATCATGACCTATTTGCATCAGTCTGTCCTTCATTTCCTTCTTCAGCATCACACCGTCTGGTCTATTAGCGCTCCCCTTTTCAGGTTATCTCCGTCTTGACGCTGCTTCTCTCTCTTCCCGGCCTTGCCAAGCGTCTGGAAATGCGAATCTCATTGTTTAATCAGTCTTTTCTTCTCATCTCTTATTTTCACCTCTCCATTGATGACGATTCTTTTCCTTCACTTTGCTCTTTCTTTGTTCTCATCAATGAATAATAGAAATAATGGAGCAGCTATCAGTTGAACAATAATTCCTCAAGTGATATCATTTGGGCTTTACTCCAGCTTTGGTGGTAGTGAGAAGGAGGTTTTTGTGAACCTTGTGCACTCTTACCCGAGTCAGCATTTCATTCTGGAGCATGGTGTGTTTTTAAGACAGAACACTAACAGGATGAAGCTGGTGTGGTAAATTACTGAGTTAATGCTGCATGATCAAATTATTTACATTGATTGTAGGTCCCAAAAGATTCTTGTGATTCAATACAAGAAACCTGAGGAAACCCAAATCAATGATTGGAAACTTAATATCCTTAAATCCAGAGGCCATTGTAAGAAGACAATGGCACTTAGTAAAAATTCTATTGTTAGATACTACAGTTATGTTAAGATTAATATAAGGCAGGACAAATTGTAAATACAGGACATAGGAATTATGTCCTGATTTGTAGCTCACTGCTCACCTTTTGTTCTTCTTCATAATGGCTACACAGCTGTTTTAGGCATTACTGTGATATGAGCTTCCACACTCAAGTCTTACAAAGAACATAAGGATATCAGACAGTAGCCAGTATCTGCTGCTGTCCCTTTGCTGTACTTTGTTGGAGCTGTAATCTCATTCTTCAACAATAAAATCAAGAATGTACACGTATATGTTAACACCAACTTTCATGAGCAAAAAGGTAAGTATCCAGGGATAACTCGTGTCATACTTGAAGCGCTGTATCTTCAGCTGTTCTGCACTTAAACGCTTCTAACCAGCAGAAATCTTAATGAAAGACGGTGTTTCAGTGATTTTATTGAGGAGCAGCCACTCCACATGTTTGATTCAGCTCATCCAGTGGACACACTAAATGCTGCACTGTTGCGCGCTTTATTGACTTGATTGTAAATGATCAGAAGTGGTTCAGAGATTAGTTAAACAAAGCGGAAAGCAGGGCTGTTTGTCATGAAAAGTTGACTTGTTAACCACGTTTCAGACACTGTGGGACCTTCCAGTAGATCCTGAACTGACGATGTTCCCTTGTGAGGGAAAATTCTGAATTATAAGTAGTTAATCAAGTTACTGGCACAACTCTGCTGCAGGTACTTATTAAACTCAGGAAAAGGACTGCATGCAACAAACGAAACCTCAGCTCCAGATTATGTTTCTTATTGGTAAATCTCATTAATCTGGCTTGATCTGTCTTCACTGCAGTAAAGTTTTTATTTGTATGAACATTTCAGTTTATAATAGATGTGCACTTGTAGCTCAAGATGAACAAGAAGATGTTTATTTGTCTCTTTGGACCGATATTGGTGTTGAAAAGTGGAAAAAAAGCCTTCCAACAACTCGTTGCTTGTGCATGCCTGTCCGTCAGGGCAAGCAGTTGAGACTTGTGCCGTGTTGAACGTGATACTGAAATGTTACAAGGTCTCACTTAGTAAGAAAGCTGTTGCGACTTTTTCCAGAAGACTGACCAGGGCGCTCATTCAGGCATGAAGTCGAAACGTTCAGATGTCGTCAGATTAACTGAAAGGAGGCCATGTCTGAAGGGGAGATAACTTACAGCACAGTGATGCTACAATCATATGATCTGACAGAACGTGGTGCATTACTGTAGATTAGTGTGTATGTAGTGAAAATGAGCTCAACTTTAAACTGCAGTGAAATGCAACACATGCAGCAGTGATATAAATCCAAAGCAGGGTACTCTTGGTTCTCAGGTGGTGTTAATAATCAGACAGAACAGGTGGTTAATGTGTTAGCCACATGGCACTACAGGTAAAATATTGAATTGCAACCTTTTTAAGGTCACGACTTTATGCAAATAACCTCAGGGGATAATCACACGTCTGAACGCTATCAGAGGTTGTCGGTTTGTGTTGCAGTTTGTGTAATGTGACTTCTGATTCAGTCCTTTATCTTCTGAACACATTTTTCCTCGACGTAAAATAAATCTTATCTTAAACTTTAAATTATGCACTATGGCCATTACGCTACTACCAACTTGACTAATTAAGACCAAGACATTGTATCTATAAATGGATGGTCTCTTTTTGACCCTCTGCTTCATTTAATGGCTTCAGTCGGTGGCGAAGATCTCTTTCTACTGCTGAGGGAAAAGACCTGAAGGGGGTTTAATTAAAGTGCGTGTGAGTGTGAGTGTGTGTGTGTGTTAACAAGGCATTGTGAAAGTGAAGGGAAGTGAAATACTCGCTGCTGAATGTTGTAATTACAACTTCCAGGGGAGGTGGGAGGTCTGTGATTAATTAATGCAGTCTTTTGTCTTGTTAAAAATCCGATCAGCCCGTGATAATTACTGCTAAAATAATAATGTAACGCAGGAACAGTCATTACTCTGGACATCTTTGGTCTGTTTGAGGTTGCTTTAGAAGCTTTAGATACCAGAGATGGTGATTCTCATGTATGTGAATAGTTTCTGGTACTATACTGAGGTTATTTGTCACTAGAAGTACATTAATAAGGAGTTCACGGTAGTCGTAAATGATTTAAGGCCTTTCTTAGACTTTAACATCATCTAGAAAACCAAAGAGGAAGTGGAAATGACAAAAAAAAAGCGATTATTGTTGCATTCAGCCTCAGGAACATTATCCAGAGGATCGGTTGGAGCTGACATCTGTGACATTTCTTGACATTTTCATCGACAGGTTGATGGAGGTGCAGCGTGGGTGTCGATTAGCTCGCAGCCCTCGTCTTTACGTGGGAATCAAAAATTAACCTGGCGTTCTCGGATGTGATATTGCGAGGATGATGGTGATGATAACACTTTATCCGAGTGTGAAAGTGTTAGATGGCGACGGTTGGTGGTGATGAGATTTATTATCTTATTCAGCTTTTTTAAAAACGGAAAATAAAAAGGAACTCTTGGAAGACTGTGTTCCTTTTTTGTTATTGTTTGTTGTTTGTGATTGTGTGTTTTGGGATCATTGATGAGTTCTGTCACACTGTCAGTCATCCATATTTGGTTTTAACATTTTTTCTTTTAACCGTATCTACTCGTTCTCTCCTTTTGCTTGAATGTAGCAGGTAATATTGTCCTTGTTTATTTTTATTTTTCCTTTTTTTTTTTGTTTCCAGGGAGCCAACAACATCCAGGTACGGAGGGCTGTGAAAGACACGCTCTCCAATCCACAGTCTCCCCAGCCGTCCCCTTACAGCTCCCCAAAATCGCAGCACAAGACCCAGCAGAGCTTCCTGCCCCCAGGCTGGGAGATGAGAATAGCCCCAAATGGACGGCCTTTCTTCATCGACCACAACAGCAGAGCCACCACCTGGGTGAGCTGGCAAGCAGTGCTGAATGTCTGGAGAGTGAATGTTGCTTTAAATGAAATGATTTTCTAAAAATATGAATGAAGAAAAGCACTTTTATTTTGCTTTCTGAATGTGATTTTCTGCATTATTTGACATTTTGACTAATCCAATATTAAGACATCTAGAGCAGTGGTTCGTGTTGAGCTTAGAGAATCTTTTACTGACATCTGGTGGCGTGAAAGTCAAGTTCACTCACTTCAGACAAAAAGAACCTTGTTGTATTTAGGATTCCCTTGGGTCATTCTTTTTTTGTTGAGGGGTTTTCTTGAAGAATATCCTAAAAATCACAGCGTTGTCATGGGAAGTATTTTTAACATACTTGTCTTTTGATAAAAAGCAAACTGTAAGATCTCCACAGCAGCTGGCAGCGGAAATGATGTTCAGGGACCAGACGAGGTTATAACAGCCGGACGACTGTTTACATCCTCAAACACCGTGAACAAAGCTGTGGGCTCTTGAATGCACCCTGAATCATGTCGGTGAAGACATATGCTTCCTGAATTTAAAAAATCTGTGGGATGACATCAATATTAAAGTGTAGTCAGTCAACCGAGAAATGTAGCCACACTGATGTCTCATATGCTTTAGGGAGTAGCTGCTGGGTGGTAATGAGCTGTACTTTTAAACACGGTAATAATTTAACGCTCTGCCACTTTCAGGATTGCCGTTTTCACAACTTTCATTCATGTTACCTGTCCGTTCATAGTGTTAGGTTGGCTGGATAGATTACATTATGTATTCAGTCCTGATCTTGTAGATATTAATGGATATGCTTGGAAGACTTTTCCCTGCAAATATGTCGTAATGATGATATAAACACTGGAGGGAGCTGGGTGGTCGGCTCCCTCTGAACTGATTAGGGTCAATGAACAGAGGTGGAAATGGCTGGAGCCCATCAGCCTGAACAGTAGAAACAAACATGTAGTTAATCCTAACAATAGTGTCACAGCTTGACTCAAAAACTGTAACAAAAACCAGGAGACAACAACTATGTGGTGACTAAAGGTATTTATTGTAATAAATAAACCAACCAAAATGTGCATTTAAGCAACAGAAAACTGTGCTGCTGGTGTCTGAAGAGAAGCAGCTCCTGTCAGAGAGAACCAGAGACAGAAAATGAGGAGGTTTTATATGACAGAGCTGCTGGGCCCAGGTGTGGCTCATTCAGCTGACCACCCTCATACAGCTCTGCAAAAAGAAAAGACAGGGACACCTAGTGCCCATGTGGAGGGTCGTCACAATAGACACAGAGAAAAACACAATCCATACACTCATTTATTTATGTCAAAGAACTTTAAAGCTACAGGTAAAGTTTCATTTGGGCTTGTTTGGGATGAAGTTTTCATTACAGTTAGGGATAAGTAACTGTATGTTGTTACACCGATGGATTGTTTCACTGCTGGCTGCAAAGTACCCCAAGGGGATAATAAAGACTCCTTAAACCTTGACGTGCCAACACCTGATATTAAACAGGTCCCGGACAAAATTTCAAAGAAGAAAAAAATATGCTCTGACATTATCAGTTCTGCTTTTGGTGGTGGAGAAATTAAGAAAACAGATCTGGGTTAATAACATGGGTTCAGGATTTAAAAGTGACCATGGACCAGCTAAATGTTTAACTCTGGATGTGTTCATAAATTCAGTCTGAATGGTCGGAGCATCATTTGAACTATCATTCAGAAATTCACCGTTTTATTGCTTAAAGGGACTCCATAAAGCATAAAGAATGAAACTACCACATGGCCATTCACCTTAGTTCCTGTTCACAGTTATGTCTTCTGTTAGGAGAAGACTTAGAAAATACAGATAATGTTTGTTTTTCGAGAGCCACTGGTTAATAACAACAATAGTACTTATATTGAATCACGTTTTATCACTTGTAGAAGCTACAGTTTTAGTCTTGGGGTCTTTTGCAAAATGTGTAAATATGCGTCTGTAGCTTTGTCCTGACTTACAAATGTATAAAATACCATCAGACACGATCCTGAAACAAACAGCTTTAGAAATTGGTCCATCAGAAAGCACTGATGTGTTTACTATTCAGCTATAAAATACAGAGCATACCTTCGTCACCATAACTGACAATGAAATTGAAAGGATCATAAAATGTCAACTTTGTTATTCCCCCCGCCATTCTGTGAACGATTAAGAGCTATGATTACAAAGAATGTACCATTGTTAGTGCTAATGTCTGTTGCATTAAATTTGGTGGAGCTGCAGCTGAGAATTGTCAGAGCAGGTTCAGCAACCTCAATGATTGCCAAGTCATTGTTAGACGGCTGCTATTTACTCTCTTATTTACAGTTTTGATTCGGTGAAAATGAAAATCAAATCTCACTTTGACCTGATGATGGTGACAAGATTTTGTTGTTGTTTCAGAACTCTCCTAAGAGTCTTTAATCCGTCGAGTCCAACGTGACTCATTTTTGCCCGACAGCTGTGGAGATGTTAATGACTGAATTTGGGGATGATTAAATGTTTACTGTGACTCAACGTTAATCCAGTTTCAATGTCTGCTAGTCGGTTTTTACAACAACAAAAGATTCATTATGCATTGAAAGTCCCCCTCTGCTCAGAAAACATCTTTTTCTTATTGTTGCTTCATTTGTTTTATTATGTGCAGATTTCTCTGGGCTCACTTTAAATCTGCATTTGAGGTACATGTAAGGGCAGAGTTTTTGGACTGGAAATCCTAAATACAATGTGATATGATGTGAAAACTAGGAAAGCAGTTCATCCTGGTTATATACTATTAACTATACCTCAAAATTGCCTTTCTTGAAATTAGCGGGAACTCTGTGTAATGATGAGATGCTGTGTTATCCTTTAACCAGAAAGAAACCCAGAAAGTTTGCAGTTGTTTTTTTCTTCTTCTTCTTCTTAATTGTTCTGTGTCTCTTCCTGCCTTCTGCTGCTGACTTCTAGGAGGATCCCAGATTGAAATATCCAGTCCATATGAGGAATAAGAACTCAATGGAGCCTGGTGACCTCGGCCCTCTTCCTGTAAGTACAGTCACAATTAGACCGACTGGATATTTAACCTTTGGCCCACAAAGCACACTTTTAACAACCTCATAAATCACAATAACTGCTTAGCTTTGTTCACTCACCATTGTCACTGCATGTTCTTGTGTTTATGACAAACCAATTCATATAGATTGATGTAATCTGGATCCTTAGTTGAAATACGAATAAGAAACAACAATTATTTATCTTGCTCAGATTAGTAAGCTTGACTGAGTGGTACGTTTATGTTTAGATTTAGATGACTTTTGCTTTTAAAGATGAGATCATGTGTTTTTTTTTTTTTCTTATTCCTGTTAAAGAACAAAGGGGTGGGGGAAATTATAAACTCAGTGTGGGGTCTGTAATAATCCTTAACTAGAAGGTGAAGACTCAGTCAACTAAAGCAAACTCCCAGCAAGTGGGCCAAACGTTACCGCAGCTAGATGTTTGATAATCACAGCTTTCTGGGTTTGTACATCTCACAGGCTTGTGTGGTGTGTGTGCATGTGTGTGTGTTCTCTCTCTCCCTCTTTCTCTTCTCTCTCCGTTCTGATGGATCTAATGTATGCTACTTCTTCTACACCTGGCCATGTCTGTTTGGCAGAACCTACCAGAGGAGGTTGGTTGGTGCCTCCCTCCCTCTGCCTGCCTTTACCTACCTGTCTGGTCCAGTCTGGTCTGGTCAAATGCCTGCAGACAGCCTTGCGATTTCTTTTTCTTATGATTTTCCTTTTTCTTTTGATCCTCTTCTCTATCTTTTCTCTTTCTCTCTCATGACCGGCATGGATGGACTTGTACCTCTCCCTTCCTTTCAGTTGAACAGTATTTTACCCCACTTCCTCTCTCTGTGTGCGTCCTCCCCGCACCACCGCCACCCCTTCTGTTAACAATTAACATTTGGAGCTCCCCACCATTCTCCTGGGATTCCTCAGACTGCTTCAGGTCTGTGTACCTGTGCCAGCGCCTGAGGCACAGTTAGTCGAGTTGGGGGAAGCGTAACAAGGCGAGATGCCCCTGGCATTTGTTAGAGAGAGAAGGAGAATGAACAAGAAGGACCGATGGAGGAAATGGGGTGAATAAAGGGCAGAACTGATGGGGGGGAAATGCGGGAGGGAGGGAGGGAGGGAGGTTTGCAAGGAAACAAAAGGAACTGTATGTCAGAGGAAGGAATTGGCTGTATGCTGCATGTGTTATCAGCTTTCCAGTCTGGTCTCCACTCATGCAGCAGCAGCAGCATACTTAGAAACACATCTACTGTACTTTCTGTAGCTACACCCTGTTTCGACAGATTGTCAGACTCTGTCCCTCTCCCCACCCCTTTACTCTCAATCTACTGCAATTGTTTTAATTGCTTGATTGCTGGTGCCGTACGAGTGTGTGTGGCCTGAGTGCTCACCGTGTCAGTGGCGGTGTACCGGTTTGAACTAGTAGTGGTGATTAACCTTCATGTTGTGGTCGTATCCCTGCCTTGCCGCTGTGTCAGACCTGACTCAAATAGGACCCCAAAATCCTTTCATTTCCTTTGTGGCGTTTGATTGAGCTTGCCTCGCCTGCACTACCGGGATGTCAGTGTTCGGACCATTTGATGGTTCAGTCAAGTTCAATCAAACACAAATTTCAAAAAGGAAAAAAAACAACAACAAATGGATGGATTTAAATAACTATTTGAGCACGGCCTGTTTGACGGTGCTGTCTTGTTGTTTCCTCACCCTTCTTCTCTTTTGCTTCTTTTCCAGCCTGGATGGGAAGAAAGAGTTCACACAGACGGACGCACCTTCTACATTGACCACAGTAAGA